AAAAGAGTTTAGACAAGCTTCTACAAACCTTGGTTTTAGCATTTGATCAATATATCCCTCGCAGGAAGCTTTCATCCGAAGGTTCTCCGCGACCGCTGAGCATAGCAAGGAGATGGAGTTATCAGTGGAGTTTGAATACCTAACCAAACAGGAAATGCAGGATGACTACAACATGACCCAGACTCTTCGTTGCATTACAATACTTCCTGGACCCCACAAGTTGATAGAATAGTAGCCCCAAACCCCTATATAAGAATACCCCAAAAGGCCTTAATTTTGCATACCTTAGGGGTTCAGGTTGTATTTGAATGAGCTTCACTTTGAACCCCTAGATCAGAAACCAACTTTCCCTTCCCCATCAATTTAGGTTATAACCGGGCTAACACGAACAACCCCCTCTATGGGCAAGCCTTTAAATCCCAACTTGAGCACCATTAAGGGAAGAGATCGATGCTGTCGTGGCTGCAGCTTTGCTGGACCCTGAGAATCTTATCCGGCCACTCGGCAGCGTAGAAAAATTAAAGCAGGCTTCAAGTTTTTTGGGAGCGCATCCTATGTCACAAGCCTGCCAAGGAAACACCCATACAAGCCGGGTGTCAACAAGTACTATTGCGAACTCAAGGTACGAGGACACAAGAAGAAGCTTCAATGCATTCAGTGGGGCGTATCACCTCTATAGATGTTCATATAGGATTTGCTTTACTGATCTGAGGCGAAAGAACGTTGCAAGGCTGGCGGATGTACATACTACGGAGGGAGATCTCGCGAACCAAGACTTGAACATACACATGGATTTGGGTGGTGTCCTAGCTGCTTCTTCCAGCCACTTATTTTGCAAGTCAGTAGCTGATACGGTTTGTAGTCGTATAACTCGTTGATGTTCTTTTTGGCTCAGGTGAGCGGCCGGCATCCTTGACTGATGCATCTGATTCACTTTCAGCTCTACCGCCTGTCTCAGAAGAGCTGTCCAAGATGCTAAAGCGATTAGGGTACCCTGAGGTCCAAGATGCCAATATGAAGCCCTCGACCCTACTTTCCAAGGCCATCTCGGCCTGCAACAAGCGCTTGAAAAAGCTGGAGGAGATAATGCCTACTGAGGGAAACAGGGTCGCCACTCCAGAACCTTCAACCCCGGAAGAGTGCCTTGCAGAGCCTATTTCAACCCGGTCTTGACCCCAGAGTTTCACATTTTCATCATGCTCTCCTAGTCCTAGCTTATCATAGTGCGTCAGTCTAATAATGAGCAAGGATGCTGCGCAAAGTCATGATGATGTATGAGAAAGTCGAAAGCTGCTCCGATCAGCTTGCCAAGTTTCAATCGGATGGCGTGGTAGAAGGCTTCACGGAAGCGTGCCTCGGCTCTTCGTGGGATCCATTACTCTTCAACCTGGTAAAGCTACACTTCCTGTGCTTTGTGCGGGGTCTATATGGCTTATAGTCTAAGGATGGAGGCGCAAATCGACATTGCGCTCGGCAACTGCCGCAAGACGTGCCTTTTCCGAATCACTTTTCTTAATTCTACAGAAGTACATGCCACAATTAATCAAAACAACATTCTAGGTAACCGGTTGGGTGGCTAGGGTACTATATAGTTCTTGATCAGGGTACTCGATTCGGCTGAGCTGGAGACGCGCGCCAGGACCGGTTAAGGCTAAATCTATAGCGCTCACTATTTGACCTAGTTAGTCCCCCCAATGCTTCCAAAAGGCGAGTTTTCCGGATTGATATCTATGGTGCTTGGGGCTTTTGATTTGTACAGGGGCTCATATAGGATTTATAGGGGTTTAGGGTCTACAGGATTTAGGGTTAAGGGTTTTAAGGGTTAAGAATTTACATATATATATATATATGTAGATTTGGGGGTTTAGGGTTTAGG